TTTAGGAATGATTTGGAATAGCTAAACTTGAGAAAAGTTACGAAATCACCATCTTGGAACAAGTTCGCGACGCGGAGATGTTTCTAAATAGATACTCACAAAATTTAATATTGAGACAGAAGAGTCCGTGTCCTGTCCGTGACGCGGAGTCAATTTTTTGTTCACTGGGGAACAAGTCCGCGACACGGACTTGTTTGACGAAGTCTGCTCGACTTTTTCCTTCTTCGTTTTTCATCCCCAATTCGCCTAAACTCGAATATTTTACTCAAATTCATTTTAGATCCCGATACCCATCATATGTACTCAATAACCTAACTCAAGGTAACTCTAAAACACCACGTAAAGACATCAGAAACTCCACAATTCAACCCAATTCAAGAACAACATTCAAATTCAAGAATTCATGTCAAGAACATCAACATTCAAACTCTTTTAGGACGAACTGCGCTGAACTAAACATGTTTGGTACGTGGGTAAATGAACTCAACGCTATGAGAGACTCACATACCTTGTAGGATCAATTCCTTGGCGAATCCTCCACCAAAATCGATCGTTCTTGGCGAATCTTGCTTTTCTTCTTCTCCTTTCTCTTGCGTTCTTTCTCCAAAAACCCTAGCTCTAATTTTCAAAAGCGTAAACTGAACTAACTCAGTCTTGACATCGATTATTTTACTAACAACGGATTTAATTAATTGAGTAAGGAAAAGACCAAACTACCCTTTAAAAATCCGGATTGGGCATTTATTTATTCGAACTGCCCAACTTCCGAAAGACATATCTCACTCATATAATGTCGAAATCGCGTAAACTTGGCGGTGTTGGAAAGATCTCTCCAAGGGATTTCCAACCATATCAAGAGCTGCTCCTAACTGATCTTTATCTAGGAGTTATGGCCGTTTGGAAATGGTCAAAATTCACTTTCTTTATAGTCGTTTCTAGGTGCGAGATGTTACAAAAATTTCCAGATTTCCTTATTCTTTCCAAAAATCAATATTTTTATATTTTAAACCCTTTATAGTCGTTTCTAGGTGCGAGATGTTACAGATATTTCTTATTTAATTTTCTATTTTCTATTTTTATGTTTTTACCCTCAAATGAAGGAATTTCTTCTTAATTTTGCTAAAACAACGGGCATCAACGTAGTCCATTGAATTATTAGTTTTGCTATTTAGTCCACTATTTCGAAAATAGATTTTTACTTTTAATTATAATATGATAATATAGCCTTGATAATAATTATTTTTTGATATAAATGTAAGTAAAAATGGACGGAGAAAGTAAAGTGTTGAGATTTCAAAAAATGAAACACTAGAGTGAATATAGCATGAACATATATTTTCGTCTTCCTTCTTCATTGGCTATTAATTGTTCAATATATTTTTTCTTTTTTATATTAATATTGAGTATGAATTTTTTATGCATGAATTTCCTATGATATTTTGTGTTCATTTAATCTGAGAAAATATTATGTCGCAAGATACGCTCCTTGCTAGCCATATAAAAATAGATAAGAAAATGGTGGTTAATCATAAAATTATCTTAAATCAAATTAAAAATTCTATAAATAATACTTAAAACTTTGTTCATATGTTTATTTTTTTATTGAAATTTTTTAATGTTTTTTATCACCATACAATTTTTATAAGATACTTGATACTTTCATTAGACAACAGCTATATGATATGCATGTGATAGAAAAAATGAGAAGACTACAATTTTGCAAAGATAAGGTAGAAACTTAAAGAAATGAAATATTTTTCACAATAGGTGATGTTGTTCATATATTAAAATTAAATCTTGCTACTGAAATATATGTATATATATATATCTAACAAAGAATTTGTCAAGCTAAATATTTGACATACACTCAAACCTCTATTTAACTACAATTTGTTATAACAACATTTCACTATAATGCCCTAATTTTCTTTAGAACTAATTTTCAAGGTAATATTTTTTGTCTCTATAGCATTCTACTTATAACAGTGTTCACATTCACTATAGAAGTACATTTTTTTTTGTAAAACTACCTCTCTGTGATAGCCTTACTCAAATATTAGTTGAGTAATAATTTATTTAAAATACATATTACTTATAAAGATAAAATATTGAAATATTTATGGTAATCGTCATTAGTGTCATGCACCTATTAAATATCAAGTATGGATATTTCAGAGAAAAATTGTACTTAAATGGTGTCCATCATTTATGGTCATAACGTCAAGAGGAAGGCCTCTGGTGACCTTTATTATATTAATATTTATTTCTATATTGTTGCTTAAACTTTCTTATAAAATTGAGTGAAGTAAAAAATAATACTACTAAAGAAATGTCATTATCTCCCATATTTAAAAATTGAATGTATTTTGAAAAGTATCAATGATATCTTGTCATTTTGATCTCAAAAATAAGTAACTCTATGATAATCTTTATTAAACATTTATAATCACTTGTCCTATGTTCTTAGATTATAATTATTTATGACAAAGCTTTAATTTAATAATATTAATTATATTTTACAATATTGTATATAATATGATAGATACACACGTGCAACGTACGTGCCGTGAGACTAGTCTTTTTAAAAGAATCGAAGGCATTATAATTATTGTTTACGTCTCAATGATGTCATGTGACATCATATTTGACTAATAAGAAAATGTATGTATGGTTTTAAAAAAATTAATGTTATTTTATTAGTAATTGTTTGAGCATGTTCTGATACAAAATAAGGTGTTATTAAGAAATGAAATTACAAGGGATATAGATAAACTCATAATAAATAAGGATAATGCAAATGACAAAAATAGGTTCAACTTAGAGAGATAAAAGTCATAAGTTCACCGGTGGTCATACACAAACATAATGAGGAAAGCTATCGGTTATAGCCAGCGCCCAACAACACTTGTGATTATTGCAAATGAGAACATTCATGTTTGAATGTCATCAAATTTTGTAAGTGAGAGACAATACTTACCAAGAACTCATATTACATAAGAGTCAACTACTGATTGTTCAAGCTGTAACATGGGCTAAACGAATAAAGAGATATTTTCCCCTTAATTATTGAAATCCCATTTCCCTCTTTTCCTTCAACAACTCTTCCTCTTGACATTCATTCCCCTGCAGCAATACAGAGTGATTTTGGTGAAAGATCATTGGTTTTCCGTCGACTTATTAGAGTGTTTCACTTTCGAAGCACAGAGTTCACAGTGCCAGTAAAATGACCAAGTTTTGTGCACATTGCACCAACATTTATTTGATTGCACAAAACCGAAGAAGAATTCAATTATGTTGATCCACAAGCTTCTTCCAACCTACCCACCTCAGACAACCCCCTTAATCATCACAACATAGGTGATCATATCAGGATGAACATCAATCAGGTCCATCTATGAAGGAAATAATATTACCCAAAGTAATAATATATGCAAAAGTTAAAGACCCAATAATGATTGTATAGAAGAGACTTATTAATCAACAAATAGTAGGTATGAGGCTTTATTCAATGCCTCAATAACTCTGATAATTTTGCACATTGAGTGTATCTCTACACATTGAATGTATCTCTCTATACTTTCAGTATATTTCTCACTACTTTGAAAATATGTAATAAGACACCCATATTTATAATACTAACAACTAAAGTAAACTAGGATTAGGAACCTATAAAACTAACAAATTCTAATTAAACATAAATAATAAATCCTAAACTAGTAAAAATTCCTAAACTACTTAGGAATCCTAATATTGGTTTATTTCCTGCATAGTCTACCTTAAATCAATATCTTTAAATGTGACCATGCCTAACATCTTCTTCAATTTTATGAACAACTTCAATTTCAATGGATTTGTGAATATATCAGCAACTTGTTCTTCGGTCTTGCAATATTCAATCATTATCTCTTTATCTTGGACCAAGTCACGAATGAAGTGCCATTTGATGTCAATGTGTTTGCTACAACCATGAAAAAATAGATTCTTTGTTAATGCAATTGCATACTTGCTATCACAAAATACTTTTGTAGGACTATCTTGCTTGTGTTGAAGAAATCCAAGCATCTTTCTCAATCATAATGCTTGTGTAGCACTACTTGTTGCGGCCATATACTCTGCTTCAACAGTTGATAAAGCAACAACTTGTTATTTCTTTGAAGACCATGAAAATACACTAGATCCCAAGTAAAATGCATAGCCAGAAGTAATTTTTCTTTGCATAATATCTCCAGCCCAATCACTATCAGTAAATCCAACATGATTACTATCATTAGTCTTTGAACAAAATATGCCATCAGAGTGTGTACCTTGAATATATTTCAACATTCTCTTGGCAGCTTGCAAGTGAGATTGACGCAGAAACTCCATAAAGTTGCTAATTAATCCAACTCCATAAGTAATATCAGGCCTTGTAGAAGTCAAGTATCTTAGACTACCTGCCAATCTTTTAAAATATGTAGCATTAACAAAATCACCAGTTCCATCTTTGGTCAACTTCAATTTCTCTTCAATAGGGGTCAAGATTGGTTTAGCTTTGTCCATATTAAATCTTTTCAATATATCACTCGCACATTTTTTCTAAGAGATAAAGATTCCATCTTTTAATTGAGAAACTTCAATGCCAAGAAAATAAGACATTAATCCCAAATTAGTCATCTCAATTGGCTAATCATAGCCTCCTTAAACTCAGAATTAGTTTAGGATTAGTGCCAGTAAATATTAAATCATCCACGTTAAGCACACAATGAGAATGTCTCCATCAATATTTAATTATGTACAATGTATGCTCATAAGGACATCTATGAAAATCATGTCCAATAAAATAAGAATCAATGCGAGTATACAGTTGCTTCCAATTGCACACACAAATGTACGTGGTCACACAAGTAATATAGTGGCTCTAAAAGAGCCGGATAATCAAACCCAAATGACTTGTCAATTAATTATTCTTACTAAATTATATTAATTCTAATTATTTATTTAAGGGGAGGATTTCAAAGATGAATATATATTACTATAATAAACTAAGAAAAGATAGATATTTCACACAATCAATGAATGAATCGATCTAGGAATGTGATTTAACTAACAATCATGTTTAACATCAATTTCATCAACTTATTTGATTATCTAGTTGTTGATTCACGGGGTTGATAATATAGTCATGATCTCCCGACCTCTAATCGTCTACCACAATTGACAGCCTAACTACATCGTTGAGCGGAGATAAACTGAACCAACTATGGAGCATTACGTTGTCTTCCCGTATTTGAGACAAACAAGGAACCTAGGTATATCCCTATCCTAGACACAAATCAATTCAAGTAATGTGCAAGAAAATATCATGCTCCTTATATCCACATTCGATCCCTCTATTCCTCTCCCGAGTTCAAAAGAAGACAATACATTTATTCTAATGGTGGCCAAGCAACAAAATAGTAATCACAAGAATATAAGAACAACCAATATGATAAACAATTATGCCGAATCAAAATCACTAAACAATCATTTTGTAAGTAAATATAATCCAAGAACAAGAAGTTTAACTACATATAGACATAGAGCAATTACAGCTAATCATTCAAAGAAAAGACGTAAAATAAAATAAAAAAGAAGAAAAGATGAAACCCTAATCAAAAATTATTTTCTACATTGTATCCTCCCCCTCAATAATTATTCTTATTGTCTATTTATAGATATAGAAAACCTTAATTAGTATAACTGAGTCCAAAACAAATTAGGAATCTACAACCAAAAGGAATTAGAATTCATGTACGTGTGAAACACTGTAGCACAATGGCGCAGCCATAAATTTAATTATGGGTGTCCAAGAATAATGGTTGTGACTGTCAAAATAAAATTAAAAAAATATTATGCTATTTGGTGTTCGAACCCTAAACTCCTTCATTCAAATGGACACCTATTACCACTACATAAAAGACATAACTTTTATCAAGAATGTCTAACTTTAAATATATATCCTTTAAATGTAGAATTTAACATATATATACAACCTATTTTTTCGGCGAAGGGTGTCCAGTTGTACACCTGGTAGCTCTAGCTGCGCCACTGCTGTAGCCGCTCTTCAATTTGCACTCTTGTCTTCCCTTGCTGCCACGTGGCAGTAATTCCAATTTTGCAGCATGCAATTTTTATATATTATATATTATTATATTCAATTTAATCTATTAATATGCCTACTTGATTTCCTTCTTCGACCTTTCATCTTTAATTCGATTTAGCTTCAAACTTCTTCATTTTCCCACTAGTTTAATCCTACAAATAAAATATACTATTAAGCACATTCCATAAAATCCATGCTCAAAAAGGACAAATATAAAAATTAAATGTGAGGCAAATAATGATTTAAAATATGTAATTTGGTCTCACATCAACACCCACACTTAAAATTTTGCTCGTCCTCAAGCAATCATTAAAGCTCATCTCAAAAAATCATTGATACAAACACTTAGGCCATATACAACTTTCAAAACATCAAGTACAATTCTCAATCATTATGCCAGATATACAAATAAAGAACAAACCTCTAACCTCCTAACCTCAAGGAAGGACGCTGAACTCATCAAATTTAGTTTTGCTCACCTACTCTCATCAAAGAAAGCTAATAAAATCACATATCTATCATGAAACAAGTGCCCTCGCCAGATGAAATAGTCCACACACCAATTCAAAAGATTGAATATAAATTAAGGACTTCACATCAAAGAACAACTCTCACACTCACAATAAAATTCACATGTATGCACAAAGAACCATAGGCTTGCCCATTATGTACATCTCCACTAATTAAGCATGCTTGAATAGAATCAAATAGAATTTAACGGGTTGTAATATAGGCTAGGGGACGAGTAGGAAAACTATATAATAGTGACTTACACTTCCTTAAACACTTTGCATTTTAAGACTTTTATCATCCATTATTTTCTTCTCTTTATTTTCAGCCATCTCTTCAACAATTATTTCACAAGTAATTCTCATCATCTCAAGAATGCTTCAATCATATTTTTTTCAAAGAATATTTTTTTTGTTTTGGTTTTCTCTTCTTTTTTTTTCATGTCACATTCTTTCAAAGAGGGCTTTTAAATCACTTTTTAGCTATCATTGATCACCTTTTACACTCAACCATCCTTTTTCTTCAGATTTAACAATTGGAATAAGTCTATGCTACAATGCTCAAGGAAACAGGGTGCAAAAACTAGGGATTCAACAAAAAAGTCAACGCAAAATATTGATACCAATAAAAAGCTACAGGCTCAAATGGGCTACTAGTGATATGTTTCTGAAAAGACTAAAATTTACAAGACAAATCAAAGAAAGCCCATTATCATCTCCTAAACATCCAACACCTTTTATTTCGCTTCAATAACATGCATGACAAGTTCTAGACTAAGATGCAAAACATGGAATAAACAAATTCTCACCACTCATGGCACAAGTATCAATCAAGATGGATCAATTCCACTTCTAAGAGAGACAAGATCATAACAAACTACAAAATAAAATAAGCTATATACAAAGTTACAACCATGAGCCTAGATGTCAAAGAGTTTGCAATTTCACTAGTAATCAAGCATTCACAAGAAAATACTACTGAAAATTAGGCCCAATTAGCAAGTATCACACAACTCAAAAAGGTCTTTTCTTTTCTCTCCAAAAAATAAAAAATAAAATAAAATTTACTTCTTAAAAAAAATAAAAGATAACCGGTTCAAAGGGACTATCCAAAGGAAAAGAACCGAAAACAAAAGCCAAGGAACCCATCCTAAAAAAAGAAAAGACTCAATAAAACAGTAAAAACTAGGAATTTATTCACCCCCACACTTAAAACACGGCACTGTTCCCAGTGCAACAATTCAATACATAAGCTAAGAGTGAAAGAAAGAAATTTTTTTTGGGTTGGGCTAAGTGTGCTTCTACTCACGAATAAGAACTTTTTTTTTTTTTTTTTATGAAAAAAATAATTTAATTTTGTACCAAGTTCACGACGCGGACTGGATATGGACTTCACTCTGCGGAGAATAATTTTTTCGTTTAAAAAAAATAATATCAAACAAATCTAAAGCACACTTCACCCTAACCAAAAATATGCGGAAGAATCCCTACCCCTCACTTGAAAAGATGCTATGTCCCCAAAACATCAATTAAAATTTTAAAACAAGGGTTAGGAAAATTCCCTAGGGTCTTTTAGGCCTAGCTAGTAACATATTCTCTCAATATTTTTTTTCAAGGGTCGTACGCACCCACTCTTAAGCTCAAACATGCTCTTTTGCTTCAAATTCTTGGGTACTCAGACTTTCCTAATCTGCAAAAACAAGATCAAAACAAAAAAAATGACACCAATAAAATAAAATAAAATAAGAAGTTATTTTTTATTTTTATTTTTGTTATATTTTTATTAAAAAAACTTAAATAAAAAAAAGAGAAAGTATAACCTAGAAAAACAATTAATTTCTAAGTCCCGACAGCGGCGCCAAAAACTTGTTGCTTCCAATTGCACACACAAATGTACGTGGTCGCACATGTAATATAGTGGCTCTAAAAGAGCCGGATAATCAAACCCAAAGGACTTGTCAATTAATTATTCTTACTAAATTATATTAATTATAATTATTTATTTAAAGGGAGGATCTCAAAGATGAATATATATTATTAAAATAAAGATAAGATAACTAAAAATAATTAACTAAGAAAATATAGTTATTTCACACAATTAATGAATGAAATCGATCTAGGATTATGATTTAACTAACAATCATTTTAAGCATCAATTTCATCAACTTATTTGATTATCTAGTTGTTGATTCACGGGGTTGATAATATAGTCATGATCTCCCGACCTCAAACCGTCTACCACAATTGACAGCCTAACTACATCCTTGAGTAGGGATAAACTGAACCAACTATGGAGCATTACGTTGTCTTCCAGTATTTGAGCCACGCAAGACACCTAGGTATATTCTTATCCTAGACACAAATCAATTCAAGTGATGTGCAAGAAAATATCATGCACCATATATTCCACGTTCTATCCCTCCATTCCTCTCCCGAGTTCAAAAGAAGACAATAAATTTATTCTAATGGTGGCCAAGCATCAAAATAGTAATCACATGAATATAAGAATAATCAGTATGATAAACAATTATGCCAAATCAAAATCACTAAACATCATTTTGTAAGTAAATATAATCTAAGAACGAGAAGTTTAACTCCACATAAACATAAAACAATTACAATGAATCATTCAAAGAAAATACGTAAAATAAAATAAAAGAGAAAAAAAGATGAAATCCTAAATCAAAAATTATTTTCTATATTGTATCCTCTTTCCTTAATAATTATTCTTATGAACTATTTATAGATATAAAAAACCTTAATTAAAATAACTGAGTCCAAAACAAATTAGAAATCCAAACCAAAAGGAATTAGAATTCTTGTTCGCGTGAAACAATGTAGCCGCTCTTCAATTTGCACTCTTCTCTTCCTTTGCTGCCACGTTGTGGTAATTCCTTTGCAGTTCGCAA